CTTCCTGAAGCCTCTGGAGTTTTTTTGTTTTTTGTTTTTTTAAAAAATTTTAATGTTTATTTATGAGAAAGAGAGCACGAGAGCAAGAGCACGAGCAAGGGAGGGGCAGAGAGAGGGAGACATAGAATCTAAAGCAGGCTGCAGGCTCTGACTGTCAGCACAGAGCCTGACACGGGACTCAAACTCACAAACCGTGAGATCATGACCTGAGCTGAAGTTGGAAGCTTAACCAAGTGAGCCACCCAGGTGCCCTTGAAGCCTCTGGAGTTTACTCAATCCTTGAAGAAGCTTCTCCTCAGATGTCAAGGAGTTAACACTTTGTCAGCTATGGCTCAGAAGACTTGATCTTTAAACTACTCCCATACCTTCAGAGGAGCAATTTGACGGGCATTTTAACCCTGTTGCTCAGAAGTTCTCAGTGGGATTGAGCCTCATTTACTTGAAATGATGAATCAGAAATGTATTCTTCCCTGGCTTTTCCTTCTTCCCTGACCCAGTGTCCTTTCTTCCTCACTCCTGCTTCCTGAGAGCAGCTGCTAAAATCCTTTATCTTAGGTTGTACTTTGGGGGAAGCCAAATTAAGATGACTGCCATCACGGAATGATGAAGAAATCATTAGAAGCATCTCCTTCAACATCTGTTTAAATCTCTGCTGATAAAGATAATATTTCCTGAGTTTTTAGAAATTGGAAGACAGAAAAATGAAAAGATGAAGAAAAGGATTATTTGTTTTTGGTGTTGTTGTTGTTGTTGTTATGGTCAAATAAGATTTTGGTCAAATAAGACTTCTATGGTCAACATAAGATCTTCAGAAGCTCTGCATTCAGATGGTTATGACTTTAGAAAGTTAGAAGCACGTTCTTCACATCCCCTTGTTAATTATTGCCATGTCATTTGGCAAATTAATAGAGTTTGGCACATAATGGCTACCTCCAATTCAGAACCACATACATAGAATTATAATAGGAGATAAGGAAAAGTCATCTGGTCAACCCCTCTGCCTTCAGGCAGGCCAAGAGTTAAACTCCGTTATCTTGTTAGGGACTAATATGAAAAGATATTTCACAATGAGCTTCGCAGCCATGAAGATCAACTTCTGGGAAGATTGGTTCCCTTTGCTAGGCTCCAGCCAGTTTGGAATTTTGGCTTTACTTGTTATTGGTTATAATAAGAGCTAACTTGGGTCTCCAAAATAGAAATCCTATGCTCACAGTCCTAAAGCTTAATCTAGAGCTGAACTCTGAGTTAGGAGGTGATGAGTAGCTCTACTCCTTTGCGTAGAGCAGGACACAAACGTTCTTTCTAAAGAGCTTCAGTAAATGCTATTTGGATGGGAGCATGTTAGAGATAATCTGGATTTCATCATAAGCAGGCTTCTGTTAGATATTTTTTGGTATAATCAAATGTCTAAAGATAAATAGGATTTAGACATGCAGTTTTTGAAAGAACCTTAGTATAATTTGTATTCCATATGTAATTCATTGCAAATATATTCCCGCTGGATTATGTCATTTTGTATAGCTACACAATTCACCAACTCCCAATTGCAAAACAGCATTCCAAAATGACTATTTAAACAACTATGAACAAGATTGTAAATGGATTTACTTGTCACTTTATCAGACTAAGTTTTGAAGATTCTTTTTGCATCTTTTGTTATGTATCTCCTTCCAATGTAGTTGAATACCTAGTTCCCTGTTCTCTTGCTTGGTTGAAATTGTGCCTTCATCAGGGTGAATGTCATGACACTGGTTTGTTATATATGATCAGAAAATGAAAGGGATTAGAATATGTTTCATTGAAACTCCTTGACCAATGAAAGGGTCAATCCAAGAATTTGTAGAACTCTTTTGTGTATTAAAAAAAATTGGGGAGCACATTTTGTGTAATAGACACTGTAGTGGTTGTTAAGGAGTCAGCAGTGCAGCAAGGTCCCATCTGTCTTTTTCCTGGAATCCCTGCTCTCACCTCGGTGTGGACAGTACAGTGTGGTTACATGCTGCATGTGGGGGCACCAGAACCTGGGACATCTTGCTGCAGGGATCTTACCATCTCCCCAGAGGGGTTTGTGCTTTTGGCAAGCCTTCCAAGTAAGGCGATGCCTAGGCTGACTTTGTAATGATTAATAGAGAAAGTAAGGTAAAGACAGTGGGGTAGTAAACTATTTTTTGAGGAAAACGGTTTGGTATTTTCAGAAACACAACACAGGAGAGCAAGTCCCAGTACTTCAGGAACTACAATATGGTATGACTGGAGTGTGGGATGTGAGGGTGTCATGCAGCAGACGAGGCCGATCACATCAGGATTGGTTTGTACTTTATCCATGAAAGAATTTGAATCTTAAAGAAAAGGAGGTCATAAGTTTTGCCCAATATTTTGGTATTAAAGTGGAAAGACGTGGGACTTGAGAGGTGGGAACAGCTGGAAACAGGAAGGCCAGTAAGGAGACTGTCACAATAATGCAGGGAAAAAATTAGGACAGCCTAAGCTGCTAGGGATTGAGAGAAGAGGAGGAGTTCGAAAGGTGTTGGGAATAATAACAGAATGTGGGATTTAGCGGAGGGAGGGAAGGGAAGAGTCAAGGATTATCTTTAAATCTCCAAATCAGACAACTGGGTCGAAGTGCCGTTGTGTTTTAGGATACGGGGACTTGGAACTCCAGACTTGAATTTGAACTGAACATACTTATGTCTGAATTATCAAAAGATGGGAGGTGGTCAAAGCTAAGGCAGAGCTGGAGGTGGAATTCTGGATAATTGGAGAGGTGGGCAGAGAGTTTCTAATAAAAGGGAGGTCTAAAGGGTCAGAGGTCATGAAAGATAAAATTCTGTTAGATATAGTGACAAAAAGGTCATTGGCAACCTCGGTGAGAACAGTTTTAGTCAGAAATGGGCAGATTGTAGGGCGCCTGGGTGGCTCAGTCAGTTAAGTGTCCAACTTTGGCTCGCATCATGATCTCGCAGTTCGTGAGTTTGAGCCCTCTGTTGGGCTCTGTGTTGACAGCTCAGAGCCTGGAGCCTGCTTTGGATTCTGCGTCTCCCTCTCTTTCTGCCCCTCCCCACTCGCACTCTGTCTCTCTCTGTCTCAAAAATAAATAAACATTAAAAAAAAGAGAGAAATGGGTGGATTGTGAAGACTAAATCCTATAGAATAAATGAAGATAAAGAGTGTAGATACACTCTCTGAATGCTGAGTATGAAGGAAAAATGGAAATAGGTTGTGGTGAGGAGAGGCAAGGTGAGGGAAGGGTGGTTGTTCTTGAAAGTGAATGGTACTTAAGAACACTTATGTGTTAAGGGTAACAGACAAGAGAGAGGTATGGGTTGAAGTTATGGTCGAGAGAGTACGGAACCAGGTTTGTAACGAGGCCTGAGAAATTGAGGTTCTGAGAACAGATGAAGAGATCAACCTTAGAAAGAATGAAATGGAAAGAGGTCCAATTTGTGGGATGGAACAGGAAACTCAGGGGATGTTGAAATGTTCTCCTTCTGGGGCTTTAGGGCATGAGATAATCTGTTAATGGTAAAAGAAGAGGGATAAGGTAGGAGTTTCAGACGGATGGAAGTTTGTGTGGATTGAGGAGAAACTGTTAGATACAGGAAGAGTGTGGGGCGGTTGTTATGTCTGAGTGTTTGCGTCCCCCATCGATTCATATTTTGAAGTTCTAATTCCCAGTGTGATAATATTTGGAGGTGGGGCTCCTGAAAAGCAATTGAGTTTAGACAAGGTAATGAGAGCGGAGCCTCTGGGATGAGGTAAGTGCCCTCGTAAGGAGAGGAAGAAACACCAGAGCTTACTCTTTCAGCCATGTGAGAATATGGCAAGATGGTGGCCCTATGCCAACAAGGAAGAAAAAGAAGGGAAGAGGGCTCTCTCCAGACACCAAACCTGTTGGCACCCTGATCTTGGACTTCCCACCCTCTAGAACTATGAGAAATAAATGTTTGTTGTTTAAGCCACCCGGTTATATTGTATTTTGTTACAGGAGTCCAGGTTGTCTAAAACAGAAGTATGGAGAGACCAGTGGAGGTCATGAGGCTGCATTTGCATAATTTTGATTTAAAAAAAAAAATCAGACTGTTGACCCACTCTGGTGTAGGGTGGTGAAGGTTTTTAGATTCCACAAGTATGTGAGTGAAGTGAGCACCAGTATGTGAGTGAAGGAAAGGCTGATGCATTAGGTGAGGTGTTTAGGGTCTAGAAAACTCAGCAGGGCCACAGAGAACAAGTGAATGTGAGTAATGGAGAGATACCTATAGAGGAGTAAATAGAAGAGACTGTATCCTTGGGTAGGAAACCTGGTATGCCCATCTGTTTTCTGTTGTCCACTGTGACTTCTTTTTAGAAAAAAATAGTAACATTAATTTATATAGCTAATCACTTATAACAATTTCCTAATAAGATTTTACTTTACTTTGATTTCCAGATTTTTTAAGCAGTGTATCCTCATCTCAAACTTAAAATCTTTTAAAAAATTGTATTTGATTTGGTGATAAATTATTTGGTAATAAGGGAATATAAAAATTATTTCATGGGATCAGATTATCAAAAGGAGGGGTGCAGTCTCTAATGAATATATGTAAAGACATTTTTCAGGTAAATTTATGCAGGTGTATAAATCCTCAAGAATGAACACCAGAAAATGATACGTAATGATTGAGATAGTGTCATTGGAAATGGAAATATACAAAAGGGAAGACATTTAAATTGGTGGATTTCATGGAAACTGTGATTCACTCTCCTGTGCATAGATTCTAAGTTATCTGAGTTAACAGCATTTGTAATGGCACTAAATTTAGAAAAATTAAAAAAAAATGAAGAGGAGGGAAAGTGCTGGTGTAGTGATTTACAGTGACACACAGCTAAATGCCTAGGTGTGAACGTGTGACCTTGTGATTACACTTTTGTATATGTGTCCTGATTTGCTAATTCCAGTCACCAAGTTTGTTGTACTTGTTAATGCTTTTTTCTTTCTCTCTCTCTCTCTCTCTTTTACTTAGTTCAAAACATCAACAAAGTCCCTTTATTTTGAATGCATCATCACAGCTCATTATATTCAGTGGCCTCCAAGCTTTTCTGTCCTGAGGCTTTTTTGAGTATGACGTCCATGGCAGGTACAATCGAAAGGCAGGCAAAGAGCCCCTGGACAGAGATGAACAGGATGAAACAGAGTGTTCACTTTGCTTCTCTGAACTCAACCAAGCCAAGAGACTGAAACACCCCCCTGAGCTGCAGTAGTAAACCATAAAGAAGATTCACTGCCATATAAAGATTTCATCTTTTAAGTTCAAATAGCCTAGCCATCATTGTCAATTAAATTTTTTTGATGTTTTATTTATTTCTGAGAAAGAGAGAGAGACAGCGTGGGCAGGGGAGGGTCAGAGAAAGAGGGAGGCACAGAATCTGAAGACAGGTTCCAGGCTCTGAGCTAGCTGTCAGCACAGAGCCTGACAAAGGGCTCGAACCCACGAACCGTGAGATCATGACCTGAGCCGAAGTTGGACGCTTAACTGACTGAGCCACCCAGGCACCTCTAATTGATTTTTTTAATGTTTTATTTATTTCTGAGAGAGAGAGAGAGAGAGAGAGAGAGAAACAGACAGACAGACAGCTTGAGCAGAGGAGGGTCAGAGAGAGAGAGGGAGATACAGAATCTGAAACAGGCTCTTTGTCAATTAATTTGTACCAAGAGCCCAAGGTGCTTGGCATGGTAATGCTGATACTTTGGGGAATTTATTTGCAGCAGAGGTGAGTTTCTGACCCAAGAGTGTAAGTACTAGGTCGTAGCACTTTAGTTGGTGCTCTCCTTCCATCTCTTTCTTCCAGAATGGTCTCTCTGTGATGGTACGGGATGGCCACTTTTAGCACTTGCAAGGGAAATAAACAATCTATGAAACAGCATTGGCAGAACTTGTGCTGATGATTTATTACTGTTCAATTTGGAAACCCCAGTAGGGGATTATGCTAAAGGTGACCATCAGGTCCAGGCAGCACTAGGAAAGTCTGACTGGGCCCAGGCTGTTCTTATGCTAGTATATCCCAGCCAAATAGAATTTACTAGAGTTGACATGGAGAGGACACTTTTCTTTCCGATGTCAGAGCTTCTTTTTTCCCCTCATATTTTGCCCCACGATAGTGTTATCTAACCTAGCTTTGAGAATGACATGAGGGCACTTTCTAAGCCTGCTTATGTCAGGTTATGACTATGCTAAGCCATATGACACCAGTATTAATAATCAGAGGCTCTTCCACTATGATACCTGTTAGTGTTCAAGGAAAGTAATTGGTTGTTTAGAGATGGGAGTGGGGTTGGTGTGGGTCTATGGGTTAGTTAAGATTTCATATTTTGGTAAACATCCCCATAAATCAGTAGATAATATGAACACTTATCCATGGCCCACAGAATACAGGCAGAAGCTCTCCTTAGGTTGGAAGAAGTGCCATCTTGGAAAAACACCAGATGTTTATCTCCTGTGGAAATACCTCTGCCAAATGCCAAGTGCCGGCACATCAGTATTTAGATTACTTTCTTTTCATGTGAAACAAGATCATTCTTAGAAATGAGAGTTAGATAGATGGACAGTGTTAGGTGACCCAGTGAAAGTATATCTCACAGAGTGAAGAAGTTGCTTTATGGATGTATGATCAGCACAATAGAACAAAATGATAGTGTAGGGCATATGCTCTCCATCACATGCCTGAAGAATCGCATGTAGTTTCTTATTTACATGACAGGTGTGATATTTAACTGTTGCAGTCTTAGCTCAGTGGTCTTTTCATTCAGTTGCCTGCTAAAATGGCAGTTGAATTTTTAGAAAACATAGATGATAGAACCTCTACTGAGCTTGAGTTTCTGGGGTGTAAATGGATTTCTAAAAAGCTCCATAGGTAATTTTGATCTTCTGCTATTGTTGAGAGCCATTGTCTTTGATTCCATTTTCATAAGACTTTCCCAGAAGAAACTGGAGACAAGAACATCACAGTCTCTGTTATTTAGTTGTGGAAATTGATCACTCAGAGAAAGTAGATTTGCCATCCTTTTGAAAAAATGCAGCATTGCAAAAATATGTTTATTAGCAAATATATGTGTTCATTAGCAAAAACTGCAAATTAAAGCAGCAGTGAGATGCCACTTTTTGCACATCAAATAAACAGGTTTAAAAAATTAGACCCTTGGGTCCCCCTCTGCCTGATGGCTAGTGATAGGGCTAAGAACCAGCATTTCACATTGAACTAATAGGTATGTAAATTGGTAGAAATCTTTCTGCACAGTATTTAGCACTGTGATTAGGAGACTTAAAGTGTTCATACACTCTGACCCAAGAATATCTGGGACCTAGCCCAAGAAAATAATCTGAATTGCAGACAAATATAATTCTAACATTATTTATAAGAGCAAAACAATGGGAACTGCATATTATATTCATATGATGCAATATTATGTAATTGTCGTAAACTATGAGGAGCTCTTAGTAATGTGGGAGAAAATACTTGTATTGTCATTGTTAAGAGAATATGAACATTTACATGGAACATGTTTTAAATGTGAAACAAAATGTATACAGAGAAAGAAACCAAAGTAGTAACCATAATCATGTTTCAGCAATAAGACTACGGATTTTTATTCTTGTCTTTGCACTTTCCTGAAATTTGCAAGTTTTATATAGTATCATTTTAAAAATTTTTAATATTTTAAGTTGTTTTTAGAGGTGGGGGGAGCAGAGAGAGAAGGAGAGAGACAATCCCAAGCAGGTGCCACACTCAGTGCAGAGCCCAACGCGGAACTCAATCTCATGACTGAGATCATGACCTGAGCCAAAATCAAGAGTCAAACGCTTAACCAACTGAGCTACCCAGGGTGCCCCTACAATATAACTTTTTAAAAGAACACATTTACTCAGAAAAATAAATCTACTCCTTGGAAATGTTTGAAAAACAAAAATTTGCTGAAAGAATTGGCAGTGGAAGATCTCATTATAAAGTGGAGAGTTGATCTGTGAAGGTAGGATTTGTGGAAAATTTCAGTTGACTGGAAAAATGCTTAAGTTAGTTTCAGGCATAAGAAGCAGCAGGAAGCTGGATCCTAAGCACACGCTTTGGGGAAAGTATAGTGAGTGATGAAATAAGGATTGAGTAAGGATAAGAAAGGCGTAGTGACAATAAACAAGAAGATGGAAGGCAAATATAATGAAAAATATATTTATTCTCTTCATTTATGGTTTCAGAGTTGTGTGATGATAGCAGTTTCCCCGTGATTTCCAACCCTTCAGATCATTCTGGTTGCTTTATATTCATCAAGTATAAGGTTCAGCATGAAGTAAACACAGCCAACAAGAGCTGAATGTGGAAGGAAATGCATGACTTCTACTTGCCATGAAGTTAGCTGGGCCATCCTTTCTCCTGGACCTTTATTCGTCTCCCCCAACTTTTAGTAGTTGATTTGCCTGATGGAAAATAAGATAATGATTTCTTTTTTTTTTTTTTAATCTCAATTTTGAATTCTATTTATTTATTTATTTTTATTTTTATTTATTTATTTATTTATTTATTTTACAAATAGTTTATTGTCAAATTAGTTTCTACATAACACTAACATCTATCTTAACTCTGGCCATTTTTTCAT